GATTTATACACTTACTATTTTCTGACAGATGATATCAACATCTCATATCCCAACAAAATCAATACATTCTACTTTCTGACACATGGGAATAAAGTGCTTGAGGAAGGAGCACCTTCTTCTAATTTGCACAAAGTTTATGTTATCAAACAAAGTAGGGGATCCTTTTCCCCACTAGGTGCTGGGGATGGAGTTCTTATATTATCTCGAGAAAAATAATTTTCCGAGACTCACACTGAAGAATGAATGGTATTTATCTGCATGGAACTTAATCTCTGTTTCTAAAACCCCATTTCCCTTAGTCCAGTCACAGGAAAAGCATAGCTGGGGGGTTCGTGAAGCTAGAAACAAAGCCAGTGTCCAGAGTTCCCTCTCCATGTTGGAGCTGTGTCCAGTTCAGCATCAGGCTAGCTGCTATTCATTAGTCCATTGAGTGTGGGGTCTACTTGGCCGTGGGCACTGTGGGAGAATAAAAGATAGCTTGCCCCAAACTACGAGAGTCCCAAGGGTCACAGGAGCAACAAGAGGGTGAATCTCTTTGTCCGGGCTATTTAATATGCCCAAATTCTGTGCCCTTGCAGTGGCCACGCCCATTCTGGACAATGGCCTTTGTTCTCAGGTGTGACTGACAGCAAGCACCTTCCCTATGTCACCCCAACTTTACTGGGCGTGAGTCTATCTTTCTTCTGTAGGACCCCTGGGGAGTGTAAAGTTGTAGCTTCCTGGAAAAGCGGCCCAAAATCACATGCCTATAATATCTGACCTTCCCTTTGTTCCTTTCCTGTTATTAATAACTAGTTAATTACAACAGTATCAGTTATGAGCATTAGTTATTCTGATATGTGCATTCAAATTACTTTCAAGTTCTATTATTGACATCTAAAGTTGTCATAATTTTATTTCTTTAAATTAAAGAATATATTATAAATGGTTAGGTTAAGTGTCACATTTGGCTTGCAGAGATGCATTTTATTTGGCATACTTAGTGTTTTAAACATTTCAGCTAACATATAAAAACTGAGTAATTTACATTAAAATCTAGCTGTTTGGCTTCTCTTAGAAAACAATCGGAAACTTTTGCTCGAGCACCTTCATTCCAACCTGTAGGGATAAGCTGGTGTGAGTGGCAGTGGGACTGGGTGTGTACTCACACCAGCCTTACCGGAGTCCTACACACTAGGTATCAGGTGTCAGGTCCTCACGTTGTACTTCTTGTTTATCTGATGTAAAACAAACAAGCAAACAAACAAGTATAGTTCTCTGGGCACATGTCTTAACTAAAGTAGGAAAATGAAATAGAGAGACTGACATTTGAAGACGATTTAGAGAGCAGACATTTGCCCCATAAGGTCACCCTTGTCTGTGGCTTACTCCTGAGGCAAGTTAGTTTGAGACCCCAGGGTAAGGCAGCCCATTCTGTTCAAGTACAAGCACTCCTAGGAGGAGCCATTTAGCCTTATCAGTCATTAGCACCTGCCGGGGGATGTGCTCGTCTCATGCTCGGCAGCCCCTCAGGCATGTGGTGAGAGCCCACTGATAAAGGACAGAAGGGCGGGAATAGGATCAAGAACAGGGTCAGAGTCTAGAGACAGCCTCCCTGGGATAGACTGCAGATCACGAGGCTTGTTCTTACTGACACTTTGGTAATAACGTTATCTTAAGATTGGAATGATCTCCTTCTCAGTATATTGAAAAGAAATCATTTAATATATTTTCTGGTCTCTGGAACCCTCCTGGATTTCAAGCTTGTCCGTTTACCTGGTACTCTTAAATTAACCTTAGCACTGACTCAGCAGTGCATCGGACCTGTGACTAGAAGGCCATCTTTCCACTCCCCTTCCTACCCCTCCTACCACATCCAACACAGATGTTTCCTCCCCCGGAAGCCTTGTTCTTTCTCTCTCCCTGGTGGTGAGACGAGATAAATCCTCCATACAGTCTCAGCACCATTTACCCTCATCTATCACACTTCGTATGCCTCTGGGTCAAAGGAGGTCATGTTGGAGACTAGAGAGGCCACAGAGCCCAGTACTCCAAGGGGGAAGTTCTCATGTGTGTATTTCTCTGTGAGGAACAGGGATCAAGGCTAACTTATCTTGGTTTCTAGAGCATTGGCCATTAACACCCCACATTTCCCTACAGCACATACAGGGCATGCACATACCTCTTTGCCCACAGACTCTTGGGAATGCCCACGTACACACAGAGATAGCCATACTTCTCTCTGTACTGGTACATGTTTCTCCTCAGGACAGGTGTGTGTAATGATCTTTACATCTGATTTCACTTTTGTTAGTGTTATAAAGGTCTCTACACATTAATTCTTGTTCAGTAGGAACTCACAGATTTTGTACAACGCCATATGTGCGTTGGAACAAACTTATTTAAGGCAAGTATAAATAAATGTATTATTGAAAATTTAAGCACCCATATAAACAGCGTATTGACCCAAATAGGAAAACTAGAGCCAGAATCAAGTTACCTAACATACAATAAACCACATGTGCAGGTTTGGCTTAGTTATTTAACTTCTCTAAGCCTCCTTTTACCCCCTTTTTTTATATCTCTGCCCACCTCTTCGTCTTGATGTGAGCGAATGTCAAGAAAAGACTAGTGGATCAGAAAATGTTTTGTAATTGATGTAAAAAAGGATTCTGTACATGGAAATACACTGTTGTCTCTGTTTCTCTGTCGAACTCTGACGGATACATTACTTAATTTTAAAATGTAGCCTGACTTTTATAAAATCATTCGGCTAAACAAATTATTAAGGATTTATTTAAATTGTTTTAGTGGTGATGTCTAAGTCTGTGTATGTGACCAAAAGTGCTGATTGTACTCTGTTGTTTGAACGTAAAGGCTTGTAGTTTGGTTCCAGACCCTGGAAACTGATGCTTTCTATAGACCTGACATCATCAATAGCTCCCTAAACCCTCGACTGGGCATTCGAAACGATGACACACATCTGTTAACAGGACCTCTGTGTGTCTCCACACAAATGTTAAATTGTTTTCACGATAATGGTAATTTCTTAAGAGATTTTCAAAATGCTCAAAAATAAACAATGACCTGAATGTAAAGATAAACAAACAAAAACACTTCAGTGAGTTCATTATAAAAGGATTAAGAAGCCCTTCATAAAAAAAGGTCAGAGTCACAGTTAAATACCGGACTGATAACTTTATGTAATTACTTTAATTTTAGCTTTTAACAAATTAGTAAATAAAATAACATAATTGTGCCTCTATTTTCATCAACTACAGAACTCCTCTAAGCAAAGTTTGAACTAGACAGATCAGATGTTAAACTCTTGCAATTTCAGTGAAGATTGCATTTTTTTCATGTACTCAAAAAGGCCTTAAGCACATAAACCATTATAAATAGTGAATCAGAAAGACGGTTGGATATAGGGTTATCTCCTTTTCATTTACCTCCCTAGACCCGTCTCCTCATGCTACTGCCCTCTGGCCTTATTTCCACTGGTAATGATCTGTAATTTCTGCTCTTTCCAATACCACTAAGAGTCATATTTTCCTTAGGACATATTACCTATTTCCAGCCATTTGGGACATTTTACACCAATCGGCACTTTGGAGCTGTATCTGGCGGCATAACTAGCATTTACAGGATTTCTGTAGACTTTTATTACATAGTGTGACATTCGATTGATGGACTGTCTCAATCTTGTTCTCTGTCAATTGTACACTGATCTGTGACAGCATAATGGATATGTGACAGTGTTTGGAAGGGTGAAAACGACTACAATAACATTTTGGGGAGGATGGATATCAGAGTTCCTTTTAATACACTTCTTCATCTTCCTCTGATATTTAAAAATATTGTAATATGCCAATTTTCTTTATCAGAACAAAAAATTGATACCTGTTTTAGACAAACAGTATTAAGTATGATGGCAAAATAGCTGTCGATCACGCTGAACAAGGCTATTAAGCATTCCTTGTAGCAGGAGACTTCCAAGGACCCTCTCAAAAGGGAATCATGTTATACTAGGTCAAGGGTTATACTTCTAGGAAGATATTCTCTACTGAGAGAGGAGAAGAAGAAGGGCTTACTGCTCTCCCAGCAGGGAGTTGCTCAGGACTTGCCTGAGGTGGTAGTTAAACCTTCCCCTGAGCAGGCAGTTGGAGGTTGTGCGGAGAACATGCTTCTGTGACTGGGAGCCTTTCAACACTCCTGAGTTCAAGTTTATTTACTGTTTCAAAGGTTGCGGCGGTGTCCTCTCCTGGGGGACAGGGAAAAGAGAGTACAAACATTTGCAGCTCTTTTCTTCTCTTCCTTCTGAAATGTCACAAGTGATACCCGTAAGCCTGAGCCTTTGGTTCTGTTGCCGAGGGAGGTGCCAGGGAGCTTTGGGGGAAACGACAGAGAGAGGAGTTGGTTGGGGGAGTCAGTAGTCAAGTGAAAGTCACTGAAAGGGAAGAGCTGCGAACCAACCTTGGCTCTGTTTCAGCACGAACAGGGAGGAAAGGTTAACAGAGCGCAGACAGGCCGGGTGGCAGTCTACAATATATGACCTGGTAATGGTTTCAAGATGCGGAGTCTGGGAAAGGTGATCCACTCAGCAACAAAGAACTGGTCAGGGGAGCGTGCGCTCTATGCTTTGTCCAAATGGAGAGAGTCAGTCGAAGATTTGTAAGCTGTGCATCACTCTTGTTTACGTCAACTTTACTCAAATCCATGTGGTGCTTTTAGTTTTGCAGGGAATGTGTTTTTACGCATGGAAAATGTGTAATTGCACCTCTCCTTCACTGCAGTGGGTCAATATTACACGTGCACGCACACACACAGATACCTGCGCAAGGTCCGCCCAGTCTTAGAAGATGTGAGAACAGAACATATAACAAAAAAGTAAAATCCCGAATGTAGCATTGGATTGGGTCAGGACTCAGGAATCCTGTTCACACAGGCGGAAGGCATCAGTCTCACCCACAGCCTGTCAAATATGGAGTCCAGCTGCAGAAGCTCGAAAGACTGTTGCAATCATGGTCATGATGTTCTACTGCTCACCAGGACTTCCTTCCACTGAGTCAAACATGTTATCTGACATCTCCATAGGCACGACCCTCTGTGACTCCAACCCCAGCCAAAACAACCAGCTGACAGCCACAGGAGGAATGCTTGGGCTACAGATAACAGAACACCCAACACCAGCACCGTAAGCAGCTAAGAATTGGTTTATGTGATCAGAAAGTTCCGAGAAAAGGCTGCCTTCAGAGAGGCTGCTGGAACTTTGCAGCCAGATCCTGCCCTCTCTGCTCCAGGCTTTCCCTGGAGGAAGCTGCCAGCGGCTGGCTGGATGCAGGCTTTCCTTTGCACACCCGGTAAGTCTGGGGTAGAGTTGGCAGCAGCGAGAGAGGCCATGGGAAGGGATTGATACTTTTAAAAATACTTCTGCTCAAAAGAGAAAAGAGAAATCGATACTAAGTGACAATATAGGACAAACATCAACTGCTGTTCCTGTCATTGGGCTTCCTCCTTCTCTTTGCCTTTTGAGCTTCATCCCCCTGCATACCACTGATGAAATGACCTTGCATTTATTTAGCCCAGCGATTTTCAACCAGTGTGCCATGGCACCCTGGTGTGCCACAAGAATTTTTAGAGCATGCGATACCTGACTATTTAATTAGGGGCACCGACCTCTTTTTTCTTAGATTGTCAGATTTAAAAAATGACAACAGCCAACATAACAATAGCTGCCTGATGAGAATGAAAATTATACTATTTTTTTGTCACCTCAACAAAAAAATATAATACATTTTATTGTTGTGCCACAGAGTTTTAATAATTAGTTACATAGTTTAGTAATAATGTGAGCCCTGAAATGAAATAGGCTGGACATCTCTGATTGAGCCGGTTCATCAGTCAGTCTGCAGCAGGTACTGAGCACCCACTCTGTGACTTGTGTTCTACATGAGGGCTACGATGATGCTTTCCTGCTCTTAAGGAACTCTGCAGTGGGAAGAAGAAGTATGAAGTGTAATGAAAATATGATGTCAGAGTTCTAATTATGAAGATATGTACAAAATACTGTGGCAAGATATTTATGCAAGAGGATGTCAAGAAAGATTTGCCCTGGCTGGTTTGGCTCAGTGGTTAGAACGTTGCAGGTTCTATTCCGGTCAAGGGCACATACCTTGGTTACAGTTCCATCCCTGGCCCTGGTTGGGTTTGTGCAGGAGGCAACCAATCAATGTGTCTCTCTCACATCAATGTTTCTCATTCTCTCTCTTCCTCCTTCCCTCTCTCCCACTCTATCTGAAAATCAATGGAAAAATGTCCTCGGGTGAGGATTAAGGAAAAAAAAGAAAAGAAAAATTTCACAGTGGCTAGATTTGGACCCTGAGCCAAGTAGGAGCTCTTGAAGCGGGGGACCAGTTATGGGCAGAAGAGACAGCCTATGTGCAGGAAGGAGCAAGAGGGGTAAAACCATCCCATGTTTTTGAGGAATAGTGAGTGTATGCAGTAACTGGAGGAGAGATGGTAAAATTTGAATTCAGAGAAATGGGCAGAAGCCTGCAATTTTCAGCCGTGCAGTCGATAGCCCACCCATGCTTGTCCGGGGCAGTAACAGGAAGCAGTTTGATGCTGATCCTGAATGGGGCCTGCATGATCTGGGTGGGTTCAATAGTCTTTGTCAAACGTCCACTATGTGCAAAGCACAGGACTGCTACAAATGCCGACCTTCTGACCTCAGCCGGAGCCTTTCCGCTGACTGAAACTACTCTGATTCCGCTCTTCAACCATATTTTCTCTCTCTTTCAGCTCCTGTTCACTTACTTGGCTGATTTTCTCTTAAGATGATCTTGCCTTTTGAAAATATTTTTTCTTTATTAATTTTAGAGAGGGCGAGAGAGAGAGAAATATCGATGAGTGACAACATGGATCGGTCGCCTCCTGCATGCCCCCCACTGGGGATCGGGCCCACAACCTGGGCTTGTGCCCTGACTGGGAATCGAACTGGTGACCTCCTGGTGCATGGTCGACGCTCAACCACTGAGCCACACTGGCTGGGCGATCTTGCCTTCTTGCCTTTTTAAATGACTGAATACAATATTCATGCCGCACATAAATTTTTTATTCATCTACTCTTAGTCTTCAAGATATGTCAACCTTTACATTCTTTTTCAAATCCTAACATCTAATTTCTGATGAAATTCTTCTCCTCCTGTTTCCCGGTTCCAGTCTGTCAAGCCCCCCACAGGAAACGCTTAGCACTTTCTGATGAAAGATGCTCAGCCAGCCATGCTCTGGTCATTGAATGTTAAATGTGCGCACGATTCTGCCGGAAGGAGCCCGATGTGGTGAGACCTTTCTGTCTTCTCTCGCCTCCCTGGTGCTTTGCTCTGTCATGTATTACTTTCTTCTCTTATTATCTCTCTCTCCACTGACTCCTGCCTATTGACATTCAACAATGCTCAGATAATCTATCCTCCCCAAACAAAGACATATTAAAAAGTATACATGGATTCTAGTCTGCCTTCAAAATCCTTCTTTGCGTGAGAGTGGTTTATTCATGCCCTTTTTGTATCTTAACTATCCACTCATTCCTTGTGCTGTTGAAATGAACTTTCTCTACAGGGCTCGCTGCATGGTTGCTGGGGCCTGGCACAGGAAGAATTTGTAAGGCCTTTTGTTCACAAAGCAGGAGAAAGATTTCTTCTTTTTTAATTGAAAGTACCCCTCGTAACCTGTCAGAGGTTTTTATTTGCCCTTTAATGCCACACTACCTCAGGCACAGAGATATTCATGGGAACACTGCAGACCTTCACAGGTGCTGAGGGCTCTACCCTGAAACTTAGTACACAGGGCATCGCCCAGTCTCAAACCTGCCTACTCATGTCTGCACCCAGGAAACCTCCGGGGTGGAAGACAGCGGGGACAACACTATATCCAGGCCACATCCCTGGCAAAGGTGTTATCGACTCTGTCCTGATGGTTGCAATAGCTTTTTACTCACCTCCCAGCACTGCCCCCCCCCCCCCCAGACTATGTCCAACACAATGATCAGAGCCATCTTTTCTGCATGAATCAGGCCGTGCCATTTGTCTTCACAGAAACCTCCAATGACTGACATCTCTCTCACTTGGAGCAAAACCCGAAATCCTTAGAAAGACCTCTGAAGGCCCTTGTGACGGGGCCCAAGCTGGCTCTCGGTACTCTCTCGTGTCCTACCCACCACACCGGCCTCTCAGCTGCTCCTCAACCATTCAAACATGCTCCTACTTCATGGGTTTTACACTCACTGTTTCTGCAAAAAAGAATTTTAATGTCTTGTACAAGATAAAAGCTGAAGGTTAAATCAACCAGCAGGCAAGGTCGGGTGTCACCAACAGAACGGGGAACCCAGGTCTCAGCGTGCCAGCCCGTCCTCCCCACACAGCCTCCTTCCCGCCTCTCCCAGGAGCCCTCCGTGCAGGGGTCAGTTAGGAACACCAACGGGCAGTGTCTCTTCCAATAATTTTAGCAAGTTGTTTTTGAGATTGCACATTGAATCATTTGGAGTCATATGCCCATCTCAGATTTTTAAAAAAATCTTTTACCCTGGCGGGTTTGGCTCGGCAGTTAGAACATCGGACCGCAGACTGAAGGGTCTTGGGTTTGATTTCCGGTCAAGGGCATGTACCTGGGTTGCAGGTTCATTCCCCAGACCCAGTCAGGGCTCATGTGGAAGACAACCAATTGATATCTCTCTCTCTCTCTCTCTCTCTCTCTCGCTATCTTTCTCCTTCCTTCCCTTCCTTCCACTTTATCTAAAAAAAAAAATCAGTGTAAAAATATCTTTGGGTGAGGATGAACAACAACAAAAAATAAAAACTAGTGACTAAAATATTTGGCACTTCAGTTGCCCCAGCCTGAGTTACGTGCTCATACCTGAAGCCTGTGAGAAAGGAAAAACCTTAAGTGGCCTGTGCTTCCTAAAAGGAAAAGATCTTATTTCTCAACATAAAATACATGTCAAATGTGGCTATTTAATGGACTATTCTGTTACCATTAAGATCAGTTTTTTTTTTAAAGAATATTATATTTAATGACATAAAAGGCTTATGATATAATGTTAAGTTTTAAAGTAGGATATTAAATGGATAAGAGCGAGTGAGAGAAAGAAAATGAAAATTCTGGAAGATGTGAGATATCAAGAGAATAATCCTTGAGTGGGGGAATAGTGCAAGGATTTAATTTTATTTCTCATTTCATTATGTTATTGATATTTTCTAGTGTGATAACATATTTTACAACAACACATATTCTCAGATAGTTCGCTAAATAGGTGAGGATCTGTATAAAATGCAGTAAGACAATTGTGAGTTTTTGTAGTCTTGACTCTCTGGATGCTAAACCTGGATTCACCGATAACTGTATGTGTAAATTTCTGCAACTCTCTTTACTTCTCACACCTCACTCTCTTTACCTGAAAGGCACCAATGGTAGTGCCTGCTTCATGGGGTTGTGACAAGGACTAATTGAAATTTATAAAGTGCACCATTTGGTCTCATAGTAAGAACTTAAAAACATGATCATCACTAAGGGTTGTACATGGATAGAGGCAGGCAAAAAAAGCAGAGAGGTGCTTCAACATTTTATAGAAGGTTATTCATTCTTACAGGGTGATCACTTCACACCTTTTTCTTATTTAATCTTTTTTTTTCCTATTTCAATTACAGTTGACATACAATATTATATTAGTTTCAGGTGTATTAGAACCGGTGGCTGTCTGAGGTTGATTGAGCCAGGGCAATAAGAAGCCCTGAGCCATGTGAGAAAAGAAAGTCCAAAAACCCAACCAACCAACAACAACAAAAAACATAGTGTAATTTTACTTTCCTGCCAAGCATTCATCTAGGGCCCTTGGTCAAATAGGAGGACTATCAGATGGCTATCATCCCCTCAGTCATAAGGGACTGAGAAAGTGATAATGTGGGTGATCACTTTCTCAGTCTGTCGCCCCAGGCACCCCAGGTAGCTCAGGGAACCCTTCGTTTTAGAAAGACTTCTTTTTTTAATTTGCTTTACAGTGAAATCCTTGTGGTCCTTGTGTAAACTGCCCCAACCATTAAATAGGTACCTATTTTTTTTTTTTTTAATGAAAATAATTTTTAACTTGTGCTTATCCAATGGGAAAACAAGCAAGAAAAATGTCACTGGCTGGTGCCTTTC